ACGCAACATAAAAACATGTATATGCATCAGAAAATGTAATTAAAATGGGGAATTTAATCCTTGACATTTTTGGGGAAATTTGGCTTGAGACCCTCTACTACAGTACAGGGCCTTTTGCCCGATTTCAGAGCAGCTTTGAAAATTCGTAAAAAAATCCAAACTTGATCAGAATCAGCTCTAACTTTCTACATAACATAAGTACATGCACATGTATAATACTATATCCCAACTGAGTTTGACCCAAGAAAAACTGGAATAACTTTTTATAGGAATGTGGGATGAGGATGAAACTTTCACAGGTTCTTAGTCGCCCAATGCCATCACAGGATCTCAGGTCTTGGGTCTCTCAGTTCTATGAATATCATTATAAGACGTCATCAGTGACGTAAACTACATTTTTCAAATTCCAAGCAGCTGGTATCAAACTCAGGCCTCGTTTACACGACGACGCTAGCCTAATCTGCATCGTTTACTTTAAAACGTAGTCGTGTAAACCAGGCCTTATTAGACTGTCAGTAGTTAGATCTACTGATCTACCAATACCGTATTAATTTTATCCAATTTTCTCTAGGTAGCCTAACTAATTAAATCGTAGTCTATGTAAAATTGAAAATGGCTGGCATTGGCTGCCGAAATGGCGAAAAATGGAGCAGGTACATGGGGTAGGCATACATTTCATTAGTTTTTGGTTGCATCTTGTCTTATTTTGTACAGATAACCCTTCAATAATGTAGAGGGACACTCTTTCTATTTGCCCAAGTAGTCTGCTGTGGCAATCATTATTTTTGCAGTTTGAATTCATTGTTGATGAACATTGGCAATCATCAGTTAGTCACCATATTACATGTTTAATTGTATATTTTCTGTAATTTACAATCTATATGATAGAGAATGATGCTCTATTGAATGATTGACTTAGTTGCTATCATTTTGTTTAACACTTTCAAGAAAAATGTACAAAACAAAATGTATACGTGTAGTTGCAACCACTCCCATCCAAGAGCAAAAAATCAGTGTAATGAGATGAATGCACTAAAAAAGTTATCTGGGGGATAGATACATGTTTTTTCTGCTTTATTTTTTTATAAATCTTGACAAATAATGACATTACTGACAGCCTTTGACAGATCACAAACAAGACACTTTCTTGCTAAAAGTCAGCGGCCGTTACTAAGAAAAGGGGTAACCCGCATCCATTGCCTAGTGATATACAAAGTCAATGTAGAGACATGAAAGTTTCCAGTCTCTTTCATTTACCCTTTTTTTTTGGAAGAATAAATTGCTGATGCTAATTGAAAAAACAATAAATGCACGATGAGGTGATAACATAAAAATCGATAGCTAAATCAAAATTTACAATTGAGATAGAATTTAAGATAAGAGATAGAGGTTGATTGTTTGATGTTACTTGGGAGAGAGTTCCAGAGTCTAAGAATGGGACAATATAGTTATAGGGACAATAGTGATGAGACATTGGAGGAGGGGGAGGGTGTGGAGTAAGGGGAAGAGTTAAGTGAGTGAGTCCATTGTTAATTTTATAAAAGAACAGAAGCTTTGATCTTTTACGTTGGTGTTCCAGTGTAGTTAAATTGAGAGAAGAAAGGAGGGTACTATAGGGCGTAAACCAGGATTTCGAGATCATTTTAAGAGCAAAGCACTGCACTGAATCAATAGAGGAGGAGAGAGAGACTGAAGAAGGGTCTCAGATTGGGGACCCATACTCAAGAATGGGACAGACAATGGTGTTGTAGAGAGATAATAGGGTTGTTGGGGAGGAGAGAGAGTAGAATTGATGGTAAATTAAACCAATGAGTTGCTTAGTTCTTTTAATTATACAGGTAATATGCTTAGACCAGGAGAGGTTAGAGGAGAGAATTAAACCTAGGTAAGAGTAGACTCTCTCAAAAGGAACATTCGATAACAGCAGAGAGGGAAGAGAGTCAAATGACTGTTGATGCTTGAGTGAAAAGAACATGTATTTGGATTTGGATGGGTTTACAGAGAGACGATTGGAGTAGAATCAGGAAGTAATGAGGTCCAGGTCAGACTGGAGAGGAGAGATATTGGAATGAGGAGATAATGTGTGTAGGAGAAGAAGGTCTTCTGCATATAGGAATTTTTTTTAACATCAAAGAAAAACAATAAAACAAACTAACACAGCATAATACATGTCAGATAGAAACACAAAAATATGTAGTCAGGCCTTCATCTAGGATTTTATACAAGGGGGGCAGGGTTAAAAATATTTCAAAGAAGGGGGATCACTAATATTTTCTATTGTGTATGCACAATGTGTGCTCACAACACTTATACAATTTACTGCTGTGGAGATGAAATTTTTCATGTTAATAAGTCAATCAAGGGGGGGGCAAATGTCTCCCAAGGGGGGGCGAGCGCCCCCTTCCGTCCCCCTCTAAATGAAGCCCTGGTACCAATAAGTACATGCACAACAAATAATAATATGTAATGCACGTATATACAAGAAAGGAGGAAGATAGAAAGATAGAGTTAATGAGACACATGCCCTTCAGCAAGAGCAAGGTCAAGAGAGTTAAAAGAGTGTATGGGCTTGTGATATGATGACCTTGCGCCTCTCAGGCACACAATAGAGGATCTTCGAGGTGAGAATGATAAACGGCATCTGATCCAACAGAGAACATCAGCATATGATTTTTGATGTTTATCTGAGAGAAGTGAGGCAAGTCTTTTATAAAAAGTGTTGTCAGAAGGACCAATGCTACCAGAAGTGGAGAATACTAATGGGGTGAATGAACCATGGTCTATATTGCAGATT